GGAAGGTGGCCGAGTGAGGAGGGGAGAGGGTTTGGGAGAGAAAGGAGGATCTGGGGAGGGGAGGGGAGTGGAATCTCGGGCAGTGCTGGGGTAGAATCGGGGATCCCTGAGGATAGAGATGGGGATCCTGAGGCTGCCGTGGCCCGTGGGAAGGGAGGAGGAGGAGGCGGCGGGCACAGCAAAGCCAAGCTCTGCCAGGCCTTGTGGGGACACACTGGGACGGGCTGCCCAGGGAGGCGGTGGAGCCACCATCCCTGGAAGTGTTTAAAAGAAATATAGATGTGGTGCCGAGGGACGTGATATAAGCACCCAATGTGTAGATTCGGTTGTTGGAATTAGGTTATGGTTGGACTTGATTAGCATCTTCAAGGTCCTTTCCAAGCAGGATGATTCTCAGGATTCAACCCTGGGCCAGTGTCACCAGTGGGAGGCTGGTAATGTGTGGTCTCCTGCGTGCTCTGAGTTCTGTTCTTTACTGGAAATTCATATTCTGGAGCAAAAGAGAAGAGAGAACTATTTAAAAATGGAGTCTCTGGGCGAAACAAAAAGTCTGCAGCACCTGTAAGCAGAGATGCAGAGTCTGGGTTTGTAAGTCATCCATCCCCAGTGGATTTCTCTCTAATCCAGAGTATTCCCTTGAATATGCCTATGCTGATCATTTCAGACACACGGTCATGAAAAATAGAGGAGCCGTGAGAAATGCAGAGCACATGCTTTCAGAGCTGTGTTGTGAGGAGAGAGCAAAACTGCTACCACCTTCCATTATCAAGTGAAAACTGAATCTGTTTTGGAATATTTCCTTTAGTTAAATGGTAATTATGATTATAGCACAGGACCACTGAGGTGGAAATGGTTGTTACTATTATGAGGACATGGTAGGCATTTCTTAAAATCTGTGTTTATTACAGTTTTTTTCTAAAAGTAATGCCTTTATGCTGCAGTGAGTTCAGCATAGGTAAAACTTTAGATGTAGGAAAGTTATATGAGGGTCTTAAATTTTTTTGAGTCCTCATCTGCAACTGTGAACAATAGCCAGGTAACAGTTTGCAAATCATCAAATAAGGAGCTTGAACACAATCTGTATTTCTAGTTTGGCTAAAACTATTTTAAGAGTTTCAATATTGTTCTCCCCATAACAGATAATATTTTTCCTTGAGGGACTCTTGAAGAAATCCTGGTGAAATCATGGACGGTAAGAGGAAAAGTACTCTTGCTTTCAGGAGGAAAGTTGTCTTCTGACCAATGTGTTAGTAAGGTCAAGTGTTCAGAAAACTTGGTAATCGTTTTAGCAAAGGAAATTACGTTGCATTGACTTCACTGATTTTGTTTCCTTCAGCAGCAAAGGCTAAATAAATTTCTTGACATGTTCTGAATTTCAGTTCTGCTATCTGTCCAATTTTTCTCTCTCTATTTGGTTTTCTTTTTTCCCTTTGATCTGTGTTTCTTTGTTCTCTGTTCTCTTCCTTGAGCAAACCATATCTGAGAATAATCTTTCTTGCCTGTCTTGCATCTTCCTCTTCACTTTCAACTAGCAAAGGCCACATGAGTGTCTCTGTAGAGCTCCTAGCTATGCCTCTACAGGGCTCAAGGCTTTTCTTTGTAACAGCAGCGATTGTACAAGCAGCTGCCTAGGAGGAAAAGCCAGGAAAAGTCACCTGCAACTTTTCTGCTGACTAGCCAGCTTGAGTCACAAGCTGAGAGTGTCACCTTTCCATCCCACCAGGCAGCAGGAAGCTGCTCAATCTTTAGCCAAAGCTGAAGTAGTTTTTTTTTAAATGCTATTTGCTTAACCAATTCAATTTTGATTGTCAGGAGGTTGTAATTAGAGTATCTTGGATGTTTTTTATCCAGGCCAGCTTTCCTTTAACTGAACAGAAATAATACTGAGTTTTATTTTTGTCTTAGGTGATGATGATTTGGATCTGTTGGCCTCCCTCCTGGAAGAAAGTGAGGCCACTGAGGAGAGGAGTTCTCCTGAGGGGAAAAATGCTCTAGAGGATGAGGAGGCAGAACCAGATGAATACGACGAGCTCTTTGATGCAGAAGATGATGCTTCCTATACTGAGGAGGTGGATACTGAGGACAGCAGGATTGATGAGCAGAAGGAGAACCTGGCTGTGCTGTTTGGAGATGTAGATGACCTGCTGGAAGAGGAGGCAGCAGAAGAAAATGTTCCCGCTTCAGCTACCAGTCAGACAGAAGAGAAGACCAACCAAGAACTGCAAGGTTTCTGTAACAGCGTCTCTTACCTGATTTGTGATAGATATCTTGTCTCTAGAGATCTAATGGGCAGAAGCAGGTCTTGCTGCTTCTCACTTTAAGATGGTGCCCAGAGGGGGAATACAGAAGAACCTTGTGAAAGTTTCTAAGTGCAGCTTTCAGTGCTCAGTGGCCAAACTCACCAAACTCATTTTCCTAAAAGAAAGACAGAGGACTGAAAGTGAGCCAGACTAAGGTAGCTCTGGTGAGCAGGACAGGGAAGGTTGCCTGTGGACCTGTGCCTTGTCTGATGAAGAGAAATGGTGCTTCAGTCTTCAGGGTTGTCATCCTGGCATCTTTCACCAGCACAGCAATCCTTTCCCCAATAGGACTTATCAGCAGGAAGTTCTGCTATACCAGTCAGTGTGGAAGCAGAGTTGGATGTTGAGCCTTCATGTGTCCAGGCCACATATGTTATTATATTGGAAACATTTATTTATAATAAGGAGTGCAGTAATCAACCATTTAAATTGTCTTATGTTCAGCTTATGCAGCATGGCAAGGAACACACCATCAAGTAAAATATTTATATGAGAGAAGTCAGCTCCAAGCTGTATGGAAAAGTGTCCCTTCACTGTGAGCTCTGTAGCCTGAAGAAAAATGGACTGTGGCTCAAGTCTTTGTTTCCTAAGTTCCTATGATTTAGTAAAATCCCAGACTCCCAGGAATCTCATAAATCCTGTTTGCAGTGACTTCCCACTGTTTTAATTATTATCCTTTCTCTTCTCTCTTTCCTAGCCGAGCTGAGAAAATTGCAAGAACAGATGAAGACGTTACAGGAGCAGTTGCAAAAGACTGCTATTGGGCAGCAATCCAATTCAGGCCCTGAGAAGAAAACCCCTGGTAATGAGACTAATTAAATGGGTTTATGATTTGTTGGCCTACCAATGTGCAATTTATAGGCAAGGCTCCAGGTAATCCTAAAGTGGGCACGGAGTAGCAAGGAGGAATGGATTCTGGTGTATTCCCACACAGTTTGTTTCCTGTGGCTGGAGACTAAATTAATGAGCTGCAATTTTAATACCTGCATGGTGAGTTGATTCTATGTGGAGCAGCTTTCATGACTGAAATGTTCCAGGGTCTTTTACTGGAAGTGTCCCTTACTGGCAGATGTTGGTGCACTCAGAAAACAAAACTATGTTTGTTGCTGTAGCACATTTGGTGTAGTAATAAAACTACATGGAAACATTGAAAAGCAAGGGGGTGTTCCTACTTTTCACAGCTTTGTGGCATCAATGACTTCCAGAGTTCTGGGTCATCATGAGGAAGAGGCATTGGGGCTTTTCCAGCTGTTGCATTTCAGTTGCTGGCAACTTAGCTGAAGGGCTTCTATGTGAATTTATTATTCAGCTAATCACTTAATTTTGAGCAGTTCTTAGTGTTTGAATCCAGATGCTGAGATTTAATTCATTTTTGTTTGTTTGTTTCTTGGCCAGGTAAAACTCCCTGTCCACCCCAAAAGGAAAGGAAAGTTCAGAAACTGCAAGAGTCACCATGTTTCTCAGCTCAGCTGGGCAATCCTTTACCACTAGCCAAGCGAGGAATCCAGAAATCAAAAGCATCCTCAGCAGGTACCATTCTCAGTCTGCCTTCCACTGAAACAGACTGGACTTTTGTCCAAAATCTGTCTAGTTCCCAGCTGCAGTGTAGACACATCCAGGATAGTTTTGCACTGCTGAGTGCACCAGTAGTAGTCTGACTAGCTTATCCTACAGATTGTCTGGAAAATCAGAGCAGCTCTGGGAACCTCCTCACCAGGCAGAACTCATTGCTGTGACTGATCTGGAGCTGTCAGTTTCCAGCTGACGGGGGGACCAGATCATTATAAATAAGGCATTTTACACCTTTTTCTTAAGTGTGCTGCTCCTGGTCAGGTATAAGGTTTTATTTAGAAGTTTTCTTTCATTATCAAGATTTTATTTCTTGCTTTTTTACCTACTAAAGAGAACAAGACTCCTTCTCCACAACAAGTCCTCAGCCTGGCATTCCAGCCTCTCAAGTCTGCTGCAGGGAACACCCCCAGTAAGGTGACCAGAGAGAAGACTTCACACATGCCTTCGTGCTCCAGTGCAACCACTCAGCCGGTATCTGTGGAAACCTTCTCAGGACTGAGGTTAAGGTCAGCAGCCCAGCACTGAGCTCTGTCTAGGGACATCACTCTGCAGTAACAGGAGAGAAAACACCATCAGTCCAATGTCCTGTGTGTGACAAAAGTCACACTTGTGGTGCACAGAGGACTGGATTTCTGATTTCTGGTGTATATGTTGTTTAACCATGTCAGATTAGCCACTTGTCCTTAGGGGATGTAACACAAAGCCACAACTTTGGCTGGTTGATCATTTTATCAATTCCTTAGTGCTGCCTTCCCTGGATGTCCCCAGTGGTGGAGGAGGGAAGCAGTGGGCATGTGCACAGCCTGACTGTGCTGTTCCATTTGAGTGGATTTTGCTCCGCACCCTGAAGCCTCCAGAGCCACTGGCAAGCCCCTGCTCGGTGTGGCCACGAGAGGTCTCTGAATACTCACAGTGTCTTTCACCAGAAACAGTGCTGTATTTCCAGACTGTGCTGAGACAGTCATAGTCAGTCATTCCTGAAATAAGCGGAGTTAATTCAGGCTTGGGGCGAAGTTGCAGTAAAGCTGTTTGAACAGAACCCAGTGTGATCAGTAGCTTGCTGATATTTGTACAGTGTCCAAAACCAAGGGGGGTTGCTTCAAATGACCTCAGGGTGAAACAAGGCACTGAGGCATTTTGCAGCAAGAGGTAGTCTCCTCAGGAGAATGCTGGATGGTTTTGATTGACCCTGTCCATTTATGTTAACAAATGTGTTCTCTTTTACATGCTTTTCCTTGAGCTAGAAAACCCCGTGTGTCCTCAGCTGAGATGGACAGGAAAATGACAAACCGGAAGCTCATCCGACTGTCCCAGCTGAAGAGCAAACTTGCTGCAGAAAATCTGGAGGAAATAGACTGGGTAACATTTGGAGTCATAGTGAAGAAGATCACTCCTCAGAGTGCAAATAATGTAAGTGACTTTGTTGTATCCCTTGCTCAGTTCAAGTGAAATGCTGGTCTTCTTTCCTGAGAAACTTAATTAGATCTTCAGCTTGATCAGCCAACTCCATGTAGTTAATGAAACTCTGCTGCTGTAGAGATCTTGGCTAATGCAACCATGGCATCAATCTCTTCATCCACTGTTATATGTTAAAAGTCAGGAAAAAAAAAAAAAGGACTATGACTCTTGATATTTATCATAGAAGCATAGAATGATTAAGGTTAGAAGGGACCTTAAAGATTATCATGCTCCAGCCTTTCCATCATTTCCCTAGAGGTCATTCTGTCTTGGATGGTGCACATGTCCTATAGAAAGTCATGGATGAAACAAAGATCTGGACATGCCTTGGTTTTGTTTGTTTAGTGAGGTAAAACCCTCTTTATTCAGCAAGCAAGACTGCTGTACAGCTTTAAAATGAGGAGGATTGGTGGCTGTTTTGGACTTTAGGAATCCCAGAACTGGCTGTGTGGGTGGCTGGAGCTACTGTATCTAACCTCTACTGAGGTTACAAATTCTGCTTGTATAAATCAGGAAGGCCCAGGGGGTGAAACCATCAGAGTAACTCTTTAAAAGCAAGAGCAGGAGGGGATGCAGTCAATGGCCCCTTGCTGAGAGTTGAGGGGAAAGCCAATGTGTGTTCCAGGGCAGAACCTTCAGCATCTGGCGGCTGAACGACCTTCGGGATCTCGGTCAGTGTGTCTCACTCTTCTTGTTTGGTGATGTCCACAAAGAGCACTGGAAGACGGAGCAAGGCACAGTCATTGGGCTGCTCAATGCTAATCCTATGAAGCCTAAAGAAGGCTCAGATGAGGTGAGAGGATTTTTCCCATCAGCTGCAGAGAAAACCCCACAGCTGAATTTATTAATATCTACTTGAGATTGGGCTTTATGATTTAGCATGTTGAAGCTGAACTTGAACTCACAGCAGTCTGCCTCAACAGTTTGAATTGCATTCAGTTATTTGCATGCTTTGTATTTGCTCCTGGCCTTCTGGAAGACTGAAATTCAAGGGGCCCTATTAAGAATCTAAAACCAGAGTCTATTCAAGTGTTGAATGCACTGTCTGTAGCAGTCAGCTCTTCCAGAGATGCAGGGAGTGTATTTTTATTTCAGTTTATTCTGCTACTTTATTCTACTACAGTGCAATGCCTGTTTCAGCCTAGGGGTCTTTCACAGCAGAAAAAGGTGGGGAAGCTCATTTCTCTCTTCTAGTTTAAGCATGAGATGTGATTTACAAAATGTTTCCTGGTTCTGAAATCACAACTGAGAAGAAGAAATATTTGATTTATTAAACAAACAATGTGTTATGTATAGCAAGTTGATACATAATAGTTCACTTGCTTAATCAATTACTTAAAAATGCAGAACATGCTGAATTACTTTTTTTCTGCTTATTAAAATATATAAGGTGGCTTCAGTTTGCTAATAATTTTTTTTAAATATCTTTTTAATTGCACTGGAATGGATACCCTTTTTATTGACTTCTGTCAAGGGGAATTTTAATCTAGTAACTGGTGATGTAGTGTTTTGCATTTTAAATTCTCCAAATGGAAAAATTAAGGATCTCATTAATCGTCTATTAAGCTATATAATTGCTTAAATTAACATGAACATGCAGTAGAAAGTACTGTTGATGAGTAGAAAGGCATACCAAATTTAATGTAAGGCTATATTTAACTGTTAAGAATGACTGTTCTTAGCTAAATGTGCCCATTTAGAACTACATTAAAACTGGCTTCCCAAAGTATTTCTTAAATACAGATACAAATCCTAGCACCTTTGGGTGGTGTGAAGATGACACTGTCCCACAGTTTTCATTGCCCCTAGACATACAGAGAGGGGCAGAGAGCTCTAGGACATCCTGTCTTCCCATCCTCTGCCAAGTGTGGTTTCCACAATGGCATCAGAGCCAAATGGCTGTACAGGACTGTCGTCATAGCACAGCTAGATCTGCCTTTGCTGGTCCTTGGTTTCCTAAGGCTCTGAGCTTAGCAATCCAATGTCCTGCATCTTGTTGTGGGAAAGAAGTTAAGTATTTTTTCTTTTAACAGCCTTTTCTCAATCTAAACAGGATATGAGGCTTTCTTAAACTAGGCATGCCTTTTAAAACTGTGTTGTTAATACCAGAGGTACCAAACTGGGCCAGAGGCAAGCCAGTGACTTCTAGAGAGAAGGCCATCCAGGCAGGGTCTGATGTTTTTTTTTCTAGGTGTGTTTGTCTGTCGACCATCCCCAAAAGATCCTCCTCATGGGTGAGGCTCTGGACATGGGCACCTGCAAAGCCAGGAAGAAGAATGGTGATCCTTGTGCACAGATCGTGAACCTGGTCTGTATCTCAGTAGTTAGGGTATCCTTCAGTTGCTGGTAAAAATCTGTCTGCTAATTTTGTACTGATGCTCCAACTCTTTGCCTTGTCTCTGAATCTTGACTTGTAACTCATTAAAGTGGGTGGTGAAGCTTAAAAATGAAACCCAGAGGAGCTGTTTCTGTGACAGCACTGTAGCAGTAGCACAGTAGTTCCCTAAATGCAAAGCTGGTGCTGTAGTGGCCTTGACCCCTAACTGTCACCACAATATTTATACCTGAATCTGGGGCACTGAACATGAGAGGAAAGTGCTGTTGGGATTGTTCTTTTAGGCACAATACTGTCTTGTACTGGTTTAAACTATGTGGACCATGTGACTTCATGGCTCTGATGATGTTATGATGACTGAAAGGAACCCTGTCTTAAGTCAGAAAGGTTATCTAATTAGTAGGTTAGCACTTAAAAGGAGGAGCAAAAATGAAGTAATGAAGAACTGGGTAGGAACTTGAAGTGTGTAGAGTGGAAGGAAGACAAATACAGAAGGTACTTGTAGAAAAGCAAGGCTGTATTTGCATACCCACTCCAGGAGGTGGCTGTGCACAGAGCTCTCAATGTCAGTGAGATGTTCCAGTGCCACCTGGAACAAACTAGATGGCTGTCTGGCAGAAGAACGTGGTGAAGGAATTGTCTCTCTTTAATTATTGACAAAAAATGTTTGATTGTGGGATAATTGTAATTACACAAATCTGGGACAGATGAATATCAAAGAGAATGGATTTATTTTTTTAGTAAAAAATTAGAGAACACCCTAAGTGAGTATGTTTATGGCACTGCTGGCTCTGCCTGGCAGGCTCATTTATCTGCAGTTCCAAACTCCCTTGAATTGACTGAAACCCAATGAATTAATTTGAAATTTGGGAGTCATTATAGCAGCCTTCCAGTACCTGAAGGGGGCCTACAAGGGCTTGTAGTGATAGGACAAGGGGTAATGGATTAAAAGTGGAAGAGGGGAGATTTAAGTTAGACATTAGGAAGAAATTCTTCACTGTGAGGGTGGTGAGACACTGGAACAGGTTGCCCAGGGAAGCTGTGGATGCCCCATCCCTGGAAGTGTTCAAGGCCAGGTTGAATGGGGCTCTGAGCAAGCTAGTCTAGTGGGAGGTGTCCTGCAGAACTAGATGATCTTTGAAGTCCCTTCCAACCCAAACTTTATGTGTTTCTATGAAACGAGTGCATGAAATATATAGCTCTCATGTTAGTTTTCCTTTGTGTTCATACCAGTAAGAAGACTGCATACAGTTCAGAGTCAAAGAGTACAGAATCTGGGCAAGAGGACCTGGGATATCAGTTGGCTTGAGCTAAGGAATGCCCTTGTAATTCCTGGGATGGATGAAGTCCTTAACACACAGGTCGTTTCCCAGGGATTAGTATGGACAAGTTTGGTTTTGTTTTTCCTTGCTGGATCGTGGGCATATGTTCACTGAGTTGGTCAAATGCTGGAGGGCTGCAGTCAAGATGTTACTTCATTTTAATGATAGAAAGATAGATGTAGGTGAAGGAGAATGAAGTAAATTGTAACTGCAAGTGTTCTGCAACAGGTTCTCCCATTTCTTTTCAGAACGACTGTGAGTATTGTCAATATCATGTACAATCTCAGTACAAGAAGCTCAGCTCGAAGCGGGCGGATCTGCAGGCCACCTTCTCTGGGGGCCGCATTCCCAAGAGAGTTGGTCGGAAAAATCCCAGTTTGAAGGAGAGGCTGTGTCAAGATGGGTTTTACTATGGAGGTGTCTCTTCAGCAGCATATGCAGCCTCAGTGTAAGATAAACCACTGATTTCCCTCACTAATAAACAGCACTTCCCACATATACGAGTGAACGTGGAGCTGTCTCTGAAGTGGTCTCTTTACTTAGAGATCCCTTTGACGTTTCCCTTTCTCCCAAAGAGAAATAAATGTCCCACATTTGGTGTAATCCTCCTGGCTCCATGGGGTATCTGCTTTTTGATAGGAAAATTTTAACAATTAGCACCAAGCTGTTGGTAAGGGATGTTTTTACCTCTCAATTAATACCATGCTGTGAAGCCAGGAACCACTGTTTCAGTAGATGAAAGGAATTTTATCATGAGATCCCAAGCACTTGACTCATGGTATGTGTGTTAATAAAGGGGCATCAGTGCACCCTGACCGTTATGAAGTGACCCAGGTCAGTAGGTTGGTGTGCAGCTCATAACTAAGGTGGAGGGGCCATATCCTTTATACAAATTCCCCTGGAGACACCTGTGGAAAGACTTGAGTCACAGCTTGATTAAGCCCTGTGCTTGCACATGGCTTTCATTCCCTTACCCACAGACAGGTAACTGTTGTGACTGCACAATAATTAAGCAATTCCAGCCTTTTCTCCATCCCTGAAAGTAACAGTGAGTCAGGACCTATGTTTAGTGTTCTCTTGATGCAGAGGAAAATACATATCTCAACTCAAGGAAAAATGGGATATCCTAAACATTGTGCTAGAATTTAGATTTGGATCCACGTCCTTCCCAAAGGCAGGTAGATGACAGCAGAGAGACACCGATTTGGATTAAATAAAGGGTGGCTGGTGTTTTGTTGAAGCACTGAGCTAGCATTTGAGCTCTTGTCCTTGCTCTAAGCATGGGAAAACTCTGATATTGTGGTTTTGTTTCCTCTTTCTAGTGCAGCAGCTGCAGTACCAAAAAAGAAGATTCAAACCACTCTCTCCAATCTGGTCGTGAGAGGAGTTGATGCAATTGTCCAGGAAACCAGGCAGAAAATTGGTACTTGACTATCCATGTAGTCTCTTCACCCCCAAGACTGCCAGCTTGATAAGTAGCTGTGTCCCAGGACCCTGGTACTGACGGAATTAATCTGGCCATTGATTTGCTACAGCCATTTGCAGGCTGGTTTCTGAATTGACCAAAACTCTTCTTCCCTCTTGAGATCCCAGCTGCAAGGCAAATGTAGCTAAGCAACTGTTGCATCTTTTTTGAACAGTGCCCCTGAATTAAGTCTCCTGTCTTCAGACCATGACAGAAGATCTTGGCCAGATTAATGGGAATTGGAAGTTTTTAGAACTTGGAACCAGATAATTTATTTTATTTGATTAAAATAGATTACTTCTTTCAGTCTTGAAATCTTCCAAAGAACACTAAAGATAAATCAGTCAGGTCTGAGATGCAGAGGACCTCCTGAGTGTACCCAGCCTGTTTCTAGTGCTATTCTTTTATGGTCTTCAAAGCATATTCCTTCTTTAGCCTTTAGGATGTCACTGATCTCTGGCTCCTTTTTGTTTTTGCAAAGCACTTAATATTATGCCCTCTTTATGCTTGGTAGAGAGCAGATGACAGATTTTTTGAACTATCTGCTCTAGGTGCCACTTAGATGTCTTATTCACATCTTTCAGTTCCCTTAGTTGCCTCCATTTCAGGCAGCATAGCGTGTGTCCTGTCTCTAGCTTTTTGCTGTTCTTGATTCCCCACGGATAAGATGATGTGGCTGCAGGGCTTTGGACCATTCTAAAAATGGGAACTGTGGGAACATCACAGACAGGGGAACTGACTGACTGACAGAATTGCTGAAGGGGTAGAAATGTCTTAGTGATGTATTCTGTGAGGGCAAGGCCTGGGGCAACCAAATGTAACATAGATGTTGGCCTTACTTTGGGAGGGTGCTTGCTCAGGTGACCAGCAGACTACATCTCTAAAGCCAGGCCTGCATCCCTTCCTGGCACCAAAACTATTGGATTTCTGCCTCTTCTGCTCCAGGTGCAGCCAAGAGACCCATGCCATGTTCTGAGGAATTCAAGGAACTGCTGGCACAGCCAACCTTTGGAGCACGAAACCTCTGCAAACACTGGACCAAAGCAGGTACTGTCCTTTTTGCCTGAAGGAAAACCCACTCCTGAAAACACATTTCTTCTGAACAAATATTAGTGACTTTATTTTCGTTTATTTTTGTGTTTGGTTTTTTTTTTTTTCCCCAGATGCTGAAAAAAAACATGGGGCCAATTTCCAATCTGTCTCTGCTTCAGCTCTGCTCAAGCAACAGAAACAGAAGTTGCTGGAGGCCAGAAAAAAGCGATCTGAGGAGATTCAGAGGCGGTAAATACAAACTGACTTGCACTGGAAAGGTTCCATCACTGTGGCCCCAAGTATGACTGTGGGAGGTGCTTTGCTGTTTGGATAAAAACATCATTTAAATAGAAATGCCCCAGTATTCAGTGGAGAACCAAATTCCTGGTTCTGTTTATTGCCAGCTTGCAGGGTTGTTCTGAACCTTAAGGTTTGCCAAGTGTTTTGTGCATATCTCGTTAACCAACCTAAGAAGAACGTCCTACGGGCCACCTTGAGTGAGACAGATTGGTGTAGCCAAGTAGCCTCAAAAAGCTCAACAAGAGCCAAAACAGAACCTGAAGTAGAGTAAAACTTGGCACAATCATGATGCTGTTTCCCCTAAATACTCTTCCAGCCTACACCAGTGTGTTTCAGGGACTTTCCATGATAAAGGTGGGGATTTTTAACCTAAACATTTATGTGATTCCTGTGATGAGTAGTCCCCCTGCATAATTACCTCTTCAAACAAACCAAGTGCTTTGAGTTCCCACTTCCCAGCTTCATTTGGTACTTCTGTCTGATTTTGCTTCTGACAGCAATTGGTAGTTCACTCCTTACGACTTCTTCAAACCATCCTTGATTTCAGCGACCCAATGAGTTCCTTACCAGTCTTGTTTTATTCTCCTGAATGCCTAAATTGCTGCAAGTTTTTCTAGCAACAAAAAGCCAAGTAGTTAGAAATCACAGTCTGCATCCCTTCTTACCTGTTTCTGAACCCTGTCTCTTTGCTGTGGGTCCCTGTTTCAATGGATTATTCTTGTCTCACAAGGTTTCTCCAAAACACAAGTAAAGCTGGAAGCCCTGCTCTCCTATCCTCCTCCAGACAGTCTGCTCTCCATTCCCCAGTGCCTGGGGCTGAGTTTCCCAAAGCTGCAAAAATATCAAATCCTCAAAGACCCAGGCTGGGCACAGGCTTTTCAGAAGGAGAAGATATCCTTTTCTTCGATGGGTCTCCACCTCCAGCACCAAAGCTAGACAGCTTGGCAGAAGCCAAAAAGGTAACAGCAATTTGAATATTTTAAATATTAAGAAGGGGAGGTTAAGGGAAATTTTTTGGGGTAGTAGAGGAGTCTTTGATCAGATTAGGCCAGGTTAGTACTGATGTTAGTCAAGTTCCTGATTCCTCGGATCAGCCTGGCCTGTATTACAGGACACAAGAGACCTGCAGTTCTTGACAGCCATTAGTGCCAAGGTCCATGCTACCATCTTGTCTGTAGTCAACTTCCAGAGCAGATGAACAGCTGCTAAAGAGGGGCCTGTGTGTAATGTTTGGCTTGTTAAAAATCCACCTGAATTGGTCAGAAGTGAGTTGTTACAATCTGTCTGATGTGTGATGCTTATGAGCTTGCTCTTGATCTTCTCTGAAGGCAACTATCAGTGAAGCCACCGAAAAACTGGCAGTTCCAGCAAATGCCAGTTGGGCATGGACAGGGTACAGAGCAGCAGGGATGGGACTGCAGAGAAGGAGATGGGGAGATAGAGCATCTTTAAGTCACGAACCTGAAGTTAAACTTTAAATTGAAGAAGCATTTCTTCATGCCTGCTGCCAGTCCTCTGAATAGAACTGACTCCATTCTTCATGATCTGACATAGTCTGTCATGCCCTGGGCAAATTACCTTTGGAGAGCTGTTTGGAGTAGCTGTGCGGCTGTCCTGGTCCTCTGTTCTTCATGAAGGTGGGACAGAGCTTCTCTCTCTACCAGTGATTGCTCTTTGGAGCTTGTGTTTTGGAGGTTTAGGACATCTGAAGTGTTAAACTATGTATGTTTGTTCTTTGGCTTTGCTGGTGCTGTGAATTGTGAGTGTTTCCCACCTGCCAGGTAAGCAACAGGGAGCTCAACTGGTTTAGCTGTGTTGTGACATGAGTTTGGACAAGGTTGGTGTCTAGCTAGAACAGGCAGCATCTTTGCTTGGCATCAGTCTGTTCATATATTTGTCAAAGAAAATTTTCCAGGAAGAAAGAAGGAGTCTTAGCATTTTGGGAGTATGGAAAGGAAGAGTTGTATGCTATTTTCTGTTCCAAATTTTGACCAGTTTATGGGGAATTCTCAAGTGATTTGATTCCTCTGGGAAACCTGCTGATTTGTGAAGCAGCTAAAGCACAGCTGCAGAGACATCAAGCCTGGTAACACTCCTGGAGGGGTGATTTTGTGGTTTGGGAAGCCCTGAGAGTTTGGGTGAGGTGGTGAATTGGATGTACAGCAGAGCTGGAAATTTCCTTTGACTTTTCCTCAGTCAGCTCTGTGCTAAGGCCAGTGGATCTTGTCTCCTCCATTTGACAGGCTCCCTCTGCTGCTTCTGGAAGCAGGAACATGGGAGCCAGATTGGTCACCAACACTTTCACTGCTCTTTCCTGTTTTCTAGCTGGCTGCCATACACCGACTGCGAGCAAAAGGTCAGGTTCTTGCTAAAACTGACCCAAACAGTGTCAAGAGGAAAAGAGCTGATGTTGATGATGTGCTAGAAATTGTGCAAAGAGTTGAGAAAAATGTTGCTCAGCCACAAGGTACAGAAGCAAATAATGGTATGTAATATTAGCTTCTAGAATAGAAAAAATATGGTTATGTCCTGCTAAATGGAGCAGTAGTTACTGGGTTAAGGACTTAACTGCTGTGCCAAAAATAGTCCAAGTTTAGGTCTGTTAGTGTTTGTTGCAAAGGCTAAACAATCTCTAACCTTGTGGAGACAGTGGGAGATGTAATCTCTGATATCTCCCTGTCCTCACCTCTGTTCCCTTTCCTCTGGCACTTGAGCATCTGGGATGTGTGGCTGACTTAGCCAAGGGAAATGAAGAAGTAGTCCCACCTGTGAAGTACCTGAAGTTTCTGTAGGAACTTCAGTTTGCCTGCTAATGATTTAATGTGTGATCTTGGATGGATTGCTTCATTCCCTTTAGAACTTCTCCATCAGTCAGAGAGGCAACACTGCTTTATTACCTGGGACTGATGTGAAAATTCCTACTATGGTACTTTGAGAGAAGATGCAATATTATGTTTTAATTCTTTTTTAGTTTTTCTGAAGCTGTATTTGAACTTGGCTTCATTTTCTCCTGAGTTATGAAAAGCTGCTGTTTGACCTGAACAAAAATCTCCTGCAGGAATCATTGCTTAGAGATCACAACCTTGAATTGAACTTGATCTCTAGGACTGAGCCTTTTTGTCTCCCTAGATATGGATGAACTGGAACCTGCTCAAAAGAAGCAGCGTGAGCAGCTGGCCTATCTGAAGTCAGAAGAGTTCCAGAAAATCCTGAATGCCAAGTCCAAGTACACAGATGTCCTGAAAGAGGTACAGCCTCAATCCAGCCATGACTGAGGGCTCAGAACTAAGGAACTATCTGGACTCCTCATTTCACGTATAAGCAGACAGCCAAACATGTCAGACACCAGACTCCCCTGATGAGTAGGGTCAGGGGTCTCTGAGCTCACAGGGCACAGTGCCTGCAGGTCAGCTTTATTGCCATAGCCATGGTAAGGTCAAGCTGCCATCACCTGTTTTTCCTGTGTTTGGAAGAATCAGTGAAGTTTCCTGCCTAGTGGATGATCAAAATGATGATGATTTTTGCCTTAAAACCAAACTACTAACGTGCTTATTTTGTCCCTCATTTCTTGACAATCCTGGCCCCATAAAGACAGCTGCCACCTTCTTCTGGGACTCACCTAAGTTGTGCAGCCTGTGAAATGCCAGCAGTTGTCCTGGAAAGCTAAGAGGTTGGGTTTCTCCCATCAGGGTCTTTGCTGACCATGTTCCCAGGGGATACATCCCCTCTAGTGGCACAGGGCTCTTGTCTTGGACACATTGTATTGGTATGAAATCCTAGTTGGTTTAAGGTCTTCTGAGGAGTATATTTTTGCTGAGAAACCAATTCCATTCCTTACATCTGACTCCCTGCCCTGTCCTCGTAGATATGTGCTTTAGAACAAGCTGTTGTTAAACCCTCCCATTCCTACATCTCAGAAGTGGCTCCTTTCAGAGTTGGTTTAGCACAGCACTTGCTGAAATTTTATTACATAAGAGATATTTGGTGTTTGTCTGGTTCCCAGACTGAAGTCTGTTTCAAGCATGCCCAGTAGCCGTTTTCCTTGAGGGTATTTGTAAAGTGGCATCTCCCATCGTCTCCCCACAACCCTGTTTGTGTGCCCCACAGGCTGAGGCTGAGCTGCAGGAGCAATACTTTCAGCCACTGGTGAAAAAGGAAGAAATGGAAGAGAAGATGAGGAACATTAAAGAACTAAAATGTCGAGTTGTGACTTGTAAAACGGTGAGTGAAGGGGGCCCAGGGTGGCAGCAGGGTAGTGGGGGCATGGGTTGTACAGAATTATGCTGGACCCTCCTGCAGACTCCCCATTAGTCACTTGGCCACAGTCCAGTGCAGGGATCAAACAGAGACAGTTTTGTTCCTGATGGCTGTTGCTGAGAGCAGCACTGAGTGACAGGAAGATACTGTCAAGGCAGGCTTTAGTGCTGGCCTGAACATCTCAGCTTGATGTTTATGGTAGTGGGTTCCTTGGGTCTTGGTGTCCTGAAGACTTTTATCAGATTCTTCCTTGAATGTGCCTTCTACCAGGATCCTCAGTTCCCCATATTACATGGCAAAAGAAGAGAAGTGCCTTGAAAACACAACACGGGGGGAATTCCTCTATCTGCCATCAGGAAGAGGAGTGGAGTTTTGTTACTATCCTCAATGTGCTGAGAAGAAGGCAGGAGTTACCTCACATTCCCAGAGTTTCAGCCCCTGCTGGACATTCCCTCTCACAGCCTTTCCTATCTGTTTTGAGCTGCACAGAGGGGCACTGTGTGCCCCCATGAGGAGCTGGGACACAGGGTGGTGGCAATGAGAGGAGGGTGGTGTTAGAAGGAGCAGTGACAAAGCCTGGGGCAGTCTCAGAATGTTGTTCTCCTCGGGATGGAAGAAGACAGAGGTGCTTTCCTCTGGGTGTCCAGCTGCTACCAGCCTCATGTGCTGGTGAAGGACTCACAGCTCTCTCTGTCCTCCCCAACAGTGTAACTACACCTATTTCAAGCCTCTGGAGACCTGTGTGCAGAATAGCCACGACTACCACTGGCATGAGGCCATCAAGCGGTTTTTCAAATGTCCCTGTGGAAGCAGAGCTATTTCCCTTCACAGGCTCCCACAAAAGCCCTGCAGGTAAGAAAAGAGCCTCGTGAAATAGTGTATGGGGCTTTTCTGCTGTCCATTCACAGGTAACGTGTTGGGAGTCACAAAACCATGTCCTAAGGTGGGAATGTTAGCCCTTGTGCTAAGCAGTGCAGGCAGGGTGTGGGGCTAGTTTTGAAGCCCCTCAAGCTGTGCAGCAAACACAACAGTGCTCCTCACCTGCTGGCTTCATCTTTCAGCACCTGTGGTCTCTTCAAGTGGGAACGAGACGGGATGCTCAAGGTAAGTGTGACTCAGCAGTTTCTGAGCACCTCAACACTCTGTCTGCTTCTCTTGGTACTTTTTGCAGAATCACAGAATCTTAGGGCTTGGAAGGGACCTCTAGAGATCATCCAGTCCAACCCTCCTGCCAGAGCAGGATCACCCAGAGCACATCACGCAGGAACTTGTCCAGGCAGGTTTTGAATGTCTCCAGGGGTGGAGATGCCACAACCTCTCTGGGCAGCCTGTTCCAGTGCTCTGTTACCCTCAGAGTAGAGAAGTAGTTTCTGAGTTTTCTGAGGTTAAATATTTAGGTTAAACCTACTGTTTACGAGTTTGTGACCGTTGCCCCTTGTTCTGTCACTAGGCACCACTGAGAAGAGTCTGAGCCCATACTCTTGACACCTGCCCTGTAGATATGTATAAGCATTAATGAGATCCCCCCTCAACCTCCTTCTCTCCAAGCTAAACAGACCCAGGTCTCTCAGCCTTTCCTCGCAGGGCAGATTCTCCAGTCCCTTCATCATCTTAGTGGCCTGTGCTGGACTCTCTCCAGTAGTTCCTTGTCCTTCTTGAACTGGGGAGGCCAGAACTGCACACAGTGTTCCAGCAGAGGCCTCACCAGGGCAGAGTAGCGGGGCAGGAGAACCTCCCTTGACCTGCTGGACACACTTATTATTCCATCCCAGGATGGTGTGGCACTTAGGTCCCATGCTTTGTTTTAGTGCCCTTACACCTGGCAGCAAAACCAAGCAGCTCTGCATTTTGTCAGGTACATAGAGGTACCTGCAGGCTGTGCTTCAGTGGACTTTCTCTTGCTTTCTGTTCTTGAAGCTTTGTTTTATTTAAATGTGGGGAATTTGCTTTGGACTAGAGTTGTAAGAATTCCAAATGTCAAGGTTCCTAGAGTGTCTGTCAGTATTTAATCAGATAATTTAGCCCTGCAAAAACTATAAAAAAAAATATTTTGAGACATCTTAGCACATGGTTAATTTCTTTTCTCCATGGTTCCTGTTTCTAGGAGAAAAAAGGTCCGAAGATTGGTGGAGAAACACTTTTACCAAGAGGAGAGGAACAACCAAAATTTCTCAATAGTCTTAAGTGATCCGGAGTTGATTTTTTTCCCCAACTTAAGGATGGATTTCTGTGTCTAAAACACACATTTATTTTCTGGAATGCTAAGAGGATTCCAGTTTTAGGGATGAATGAGCAGGGGAATCAATTCCTGATGAGGACATCCACAAAGTCTCCACCAGGTCCCAGCTTTGATATTTTTTAAAACTGACTGTTCTTTCTTACTAACAATGTGTTTACAAGACTTAACCAGGAAACTAGGAGGAGTTTGTACCAAGAAATCCCTAAGGATCCCACGATTTCTGTCGAATGGCTGGTGCAGGGTGACCTCACCAGAATTTTGTGACAACGCATCATTAACTGTGTGGACTGTAGGCTCCATAACCACTTGTGAAGTTCATGCTGGGGTGTTGGTGCTGAGGTTTTCCAGCTGTCAAAGGGGTGTGGGAGGACTGTAGCCACAGAGCAGTCTTCATTGGCTCCAAAATTACTCACCTCGAACCCTCAAGAACAGATGTCAGATGGTTCCTGAATTGTCTCCTTGGCTTATGTTTTAAAAAAACACCTCGGTGGCTTTGGCATCGCAAAGCAGCGGCGCTCACCCTGCAGCCTAGAGGGAGCTCTTGTGAGAGACCTTTCCCTGTCACACCACACCCAGCACCACCCACACTACAGCACCTCTACAGCTACAACCATGCAGCTCCCACTTTGAAAAGCATTCTAATGAATCTGGCACAGTTTTGTGAGCAGTTTTAAAGAGCTGAGTGATTACATTTAATAGCTTTTACCCTTTTTCTATCATTTTAAATTTTCCTGAAATCTTTCTCAGCCCTTGCCATGTCAACCTTGGCTGCTGGCACAGCTGCCTGGGGGACAGTTGCTGTCTCAGACCAAGCAGAAGATCATCTCCAATGGCTGGCTTCTGAGAAAGGCTGTCTTCATACAGGTGTTTTTCTGAAAGCACATCTCCATAAGGATGCCAAGGCATTTGGGCAGCTTTTCCTGGAGCTGATCCTTGTGCAGCCCCTAAATCATGCCCAGTGGGATCACAGCCTATTTTTAAGTGCCTAAAACCATGAATACCTCAGTGATTTGGTGAAACTGCCACCAACAGTCTCACATGTCCCAGTGGCCTTGAGGATACTTCCTTAGTTTGCTTACACAGGGACTGGAAGAGAAATAAGTTACTTCATTTGAAGCAACTGGACAGATTTACCTCAGTTTTTCTGCAGCCCTCATCTACTGCTGCTTTTGCTGGGCAGCTTTGCTCAGTGTGTTACACCGATTTCAGCCTCATGTTGGTACTATTTGGAGTGGTGTGTCATGTACCTCTGTAACTATGACGTTGCTTGGCAATGTGTCCTGTTGATTCCTCATTCAGAATAAATACAGTGCATGATAAAACACTCCCTGGGTTTGTATGGAATCATTTATCTGAGGCAGAGGATGAGTTGCTTGTTCAACCTCTTCATTTGCCTGAGAGCTCGGTGCTGAATCACCAAAAGGAATTGGTTTTATGGTCCAGAACTGCAGCTGCCACGTATTTTTCATAGTCAGACCCACAGGAGGTTCTCCAGAGTCCACAAAACCAGCATGAAATTCCACATCAACAGCAGCCTTCAGCTGGCACCTTGAAAGCTTCAGGCTTTTTCCAGTTCCTGCCCCTCTGGCCAACAAAAAGATTTCTGCAAAAAATAAACTGTCAAAAACGGGGTAATGCTTTATCTTCATAAATGCCCCCAGCACTGTGATCTGTAGGAAAGATCAAAGTGCCCATGAGAGCCAAGAAATTATAGTAATATTCTCAATTAATACTTGTATGCAAAAATAGGATGAAGAAACCAAGGCCCATTGCTTTGTTTTAAATCCCAGCAGTAAACAAGGAGTGGTGGAGATTGATATAATGGTTTTTAGGCACCTCAGTCTATTTTTGGGAAGAATGTTTCTTGTGCCAGAGGTGGCTATAGCCCAGCAGAAGCAAGCAGGAGGGGAACCACCCTCTGGGGTGTGCTGCCACATGAGTGCACTTGCCAGAGCAGCCTGCAAGGTCTCCAGTCCATACCAAGCTGACAGATTTGCACCAATACTTGGGAACAAGACCAGAGGCAGAGACCCACAAGAGGCAGCTCAGGCATGACGTGACAAACCCAGCTGTCCCAATGATACAAAGACTTCCAACCTCACATTGAAGAGGTCCAACTGCATGCCAGGCTGTGTTACAAGAGAGCAGGCAACAGGCCAAGGCCTGTGAGTCTGCCCTAACACTGCCTGTAGGTGTAAGGCACTTCATTGGATTAAAATTCCAGAACCCTCTGACACTGCTCTTGGCTGGTGAATCAAGCCAATGGTGCTGGTGAAGCTGCTACATCCCCTAAATCATTAAGCAAAACTGCAGTGGGAAGATAATGCTGAACGTGCATTCTCAGAGCCATGATTAAGATTTGCAGAGCAGTAAGCTAATAAATCAGCCCTTTCCCCAGCCAGTTCTGGCTGCAAGGTTCCTTCTCCAGCTACAAAGTGCCCTGTGTACATATGAAAATCCAGCTTCTCTCATAATAACCTCTTACGAAGTCAGGATTGGTTTTTAGATGCATTGAGCATCCTGCCTCAGCCCTCAGCTACTGCTGAGATGTTAATTTAGAGCTCCTCACCCTGCTGCCACTTTATCTTTCCTTGGATTTTACAAACTCTCTGAGGAGAAAAAATTACACCTTTAAGCATTCTCTCTCTGCACTAACCAGGTTAGGATTATTAACTTTCAAAAAATCAGCTTAATGAAAACTTAATACCCTTTCACAATAAATACAGTACAAAAGGACCTTCCTTTTTGCCCATCAGTTTTTCACTGCAGAGCCTGTTCAATGGTCTCTTGACCAGTCACCTGCAGCTCCCCTGGCCAGCTGGTCTCACCCAGCCATTTCACATCATTTTGTTTTCCCCAACCCACTTGCTGCCCTTTTTTTCTCCTCCCAAAATGAAGTAATTGTGAGACAAGAGTGCAGGCTAAACTTTTCTTCTGTTCTTTAATTTCCTGTGCAACCTGTGTTGCTGATCCCATTTCATTTTGCCCTGAAAACAGCCCTAAGATGCCCATGTGGGAGAACCGCAAGGTGCAGCTGGGATCCTCCACTGCTGGCTGAAAAAACAGCCTGGGTGATCAGTGCCTTTTTTTTTTCCATTTATATGACTAAGAGTGACTCAAAAATAGCAAAGTAACCTTTGTCTGTGCCCCTGAGACAAAAACTGAGAACCTGACTTTTAGAATGACTGGCAAATGCAGAGGGGAGGGGGAAGCCCTCATGTCTCTGGGGACCTGGCTTCTCCAGGCATCTATTGTCACTGCTAACTTTGTACCCTGCTGTTAGATTTCTTGCAGACTTTCCAACCTGCCCTGCTCTTTGCTGGCTGCCAGACTTGCTGCTGTATCCACCTGTTCTGTGTTTCCCTCCCCAGCACAGCCGCTCATATTCTTCTCCTGTTCAGTCTTCATAAGACTTGGGGAGCAGCTCTGGTTTTGGGGCACCCACACTGCACAGACAAGGAAGAGGAGAGTAATTGGAGCAAAAAAAGAGAAGTTCATTGTTTGTGTGTCACCATGGAGCTGACTGAGGACAGAGCCTTTCTGTCAGTACCTGCATACTTGACCACACAGCAGGATGAATTAATATTAGGTTTTCAAAGCACTGTGCAGATCATGTACTGATGACAGTGTTTGGCATATATATGCTAAAGAATCACATATTCTAAGAACTAAAAATATCACCCCAAATGGAGACACCTTGGTTTGGGGGTGGATTTTTAATGAACAGGAACTCTTGGTCAGCCAGGCTGTAGAATTCTCACTGCTGAGCAACATTCACTGTAGCCCCAAACAATTTGCAACTCACCAGCTGGATTATAAGGAGGCATTCAAAAATATACAGGAAGAAGGCAAATTAGAATCTTAGAGCCATAGAATCATCAAGGTTGGAAGGGACCTTAAATATCATCAAGTTCCAACCCTCCTGCCATGAGCAGGGAACCCAACCACTAGATCAGGCTGCACAAAACCTCATCCAACCTGGCCTTAAAAACCGTCAGGGATGGGGCATCAACAACCTCCCTGGGCAACCCATTCCAGTTCCTCACCACCCTCATAGTGAAGAATTTCTTCCTAATATCTAACCTAAATCTCCCCTCTCTCGGTTTAAAACCTTTCCCTCAAGGTTGGCTTCTGTACTTCCTAAGAGAAGAGCTGCAACAGCTCTGCACCTTTTCAACAGAGCAGCTTGACCCAAATGCCAAGGTTACCTGGTTCTGAGCATACTGGCATTTTGCTCAAGTAACAGCCCCACTGCAGCTCTACTAGGACACAGCACAGGAAGTAATTACATGGGGTCTTAATTACCTTCCTCAATTACCTTAATTACCTGCCTCAGTTAATTGCTAGCACATGCCAAAACTTGTGTGCCCTGGATGTCAAACCTGCCTGATGATGTCAGCCTGGTTTCTCTGGGCTGTGAAAATGGTGGAGATAAAGTGCTTGAACACCCTGGTTAGACTGGGTGGGTTGTCATGTAAGTCACTCCCAAAACCCTCAGAGCTCTTTCATCCCTGAAATTGCTGCTCTGCTCCCAAGGGAAGGCTGCAGTTGAATGTAGGGTCTCTTAGCCCAGAAATTACTTGGGAACTGTGTCAATAAATGTTTTTTCATACCTTTTTTTTGTTTGTTTCTGTCCTTGAGAAGTCAGGTTTGGGGGTGAAATTTCCTGTGCCAGGTCTTAGCCTGTAAGGGAGGTCTCTTCAAAAGGTGAGCTGTTTTGCTTCTTTCCTTTAGTTTTGAGATCAAGAATGGAATCACTCTTTGAGGAAAAACCTTTATCAGACAGCAATAGAAACAACTGCTGAAGACCAAAGCTGAACATCTGGGAAGAGCCACACACCTGATGTGAGAGGACACTTGCTCTCTGGCAGCCAAGTGGGCCAGCAGCAGCTTTGTCAAGTGCTGAAAACTATGAATGGACCTTATGACATCAATGAAACCAGCTTCTAAGGAATCACAAGGGCTAAAACTACAATGAAAAGGGATTTTTCTTCATTTCCCTCTTGTAGTTTTGAAGCTTCAGGATCTCATTTTTCCACTTTTGGGAAGATGGGGAGTCTTATTCTTTCAAACTTTGGTATTTCAAAACACTGGGGGTGGGAAGATTTCTGCTTCCCATCTTTCTCTAATTCTTTAAATCCTTGTGTGAACCAGAGAATTTCTGGAATTGGATCTTTAAGAAAAACAAAAAAAAAGCCCATAGCCCTGACACTCCCAAACACATGAAATCACAAGAGGGCTCAGTGAGGTCAATACACTTGGGAATTAGAGTAACCATCAAGGCCAAAAATGCAACCAAGCCCTGTGGACATACATGGACCTGGCAAAACCTCTGTTCTCCAGCCCCCACCCATCTGTGTGTTGGAGGAATGAAGACTGTGCTGAGCTCTGCTCTGGTCACCCTCTGCTGGCCCTTGGTTCTGCCAGTGATCCTGCCAGGAGAAGAGGACCACAGATCTCTGGGTTTGCAGATGTGGGACAAGAAGGGGCAGGAGGGCACCTGCTGCAGTGGCCATGACCCTGATGTGGTGGAGAGCTGGAGCTTTGCCCTGAAGCACCTGTGTCCTTGCAAGACAGGGAGGACATGGGCTGTTGTTTCTTGGTTTTGGGGTGTCTCTCAGCTGCCTGACCTTTTTCTCAGAACAAACTCCCACCTTTCCAGGGTTCACTTTGTTGTTTATGCAGCCACACACCCATCAGCAGGATTTCTGACCCAGAGAAATAACACCACACAGGCACCCAGTGTGGTGGTGCTCTCATTTAATTTTTATTAAAAAAAATAAAAATCAACATCTTCATCAACTATATTAATGACTTCCCTCCCATGTGAGCTCATACTGAAACTTGCATGAAACTCTGATTCACTATGTTTATTTTGCATGGAAAAATATGTTAGAAGCCTTAAAGACCTCATCATGCATAGAATCTTCTTACATTAGATGAATTAATTTCATCTAACTGAAATAATCATTATAATTCTATTAATATTATTAATAACCTTACATTAATAGAGCATCAGCCCACCAGTGTATCAAGAGAGAGATTAGGAAACAAAACATGAAGAAGCAAAGCACATCTCTCATAATTTTTCTTTGATAATTTTTTCTTTGATTTCATATTTTTTCCCTAAAAATAACCACAGCAAATCTGTTTTTTTAGGTCAGGTTATTTTTGAAGTGCATCAGCTGTTCAGCTTCAGTGCAACTATTTTGTATTAGCATAGAGTGAATTTATAATGCAGTATTTGGGTGAGTTTCTTACAGAGAGGGCCAAAAGATCATAAATCTGGCTACTCAGAAGCTGATGCTCAGGCACACATTTTCCATCCTGCTCTTCAGAAGCCACTTTAAAGATGAATTCTTTTTCCTTGCATAACCTTTGCTTGCTTCTTTCTAATTAAAAAAAAGGCAAAAAAACACCAAACAAAAAAAAATCCAAACAAAAAATACTTAGAAGGCACCATCTTTGGACACTGTTTCCTGCAACAGGTCCTCATTACAAACTGGGGTCACCTCTTTCAGCCTCTTCTGACTCCAAAAAGGTTGGAGGCCACAGGCTGAACATGGTCCTTCTCCTGGCAGGGCTCTTCCTTTTTTTTCACATGAGCTCTTCATGGAACAGCAAAAAACAATTCCTGTTCTGATGCCAATAGTTTGGGATTCCAAAAATCATGGAGGGATGGGCTGTGTGTTGGGAACAGCACTTGGGTTCCTGCACTTGTGCCTCACAGTGCCAAAGCACGAGGGGCCAGTTTTCCTTCTGGAACAAAGTTAAGCTTGGGGCAGCAGATGACTTGGTTAATTACTGCTTTTTCTCTCCTCCTCCCCTTCCTGCTGCCCTGGTGGCAATTCAAAGGAGAAGAGAGAGGGTGTTTGGACCTGATGAGATGTGCTTGCAGCTCCCAATCAGCTGCACTGCACTGCCAGGGAAACAAACCCTAAGAGATACATGGTTTTGGTTTTTACCCAAAAAGCCAAGTTCCGGAGATGAATTTCTAGCTGTGAATTTCCTCTGGTGGGGCATGTGCTTTGGAACCCTGTGACTGCAGAATCTCTGCCAGCTGGAATGGGTGGGAATAGGAACAAGAAGTCACTTACCAAAAGATCCCTCACATAGAAGGTGGCACTTACATGAGCAGAGGAAGCCTCCTGTGGACTCCAGCCCTTGCTCAAACATCCTGTAAGGAAGTGCTTGTAGATCCTTACTCTTCCAGGAACATGGTCCTACACCCATAAGCATGTAGCTGTGCTGAGAAGCAGCCAAGAAGCCCTGCTGGATCTGGCTCGGCCCAGGGTCAGTTCAGGGGGCAGGGATCAGACTCCTTGGCATTGCTGGGATGCAGCTGAGCTGTCCTTGCACACAGCCAAGGGGAGCCTGTCTTAGCATAGCCCTTCCCGGGTTCTGGAGTATCTTCAGCCTGTTCTTGTAGGAAGGAGTGAGGACATGAGTCTCTCATCAGGTGGGAAAACTGCTGAGTTTAGAAGATCTGTGAGGTCTTTGATTGTTTTTTTTCTTCTGAAAGGGGAAACTGAAGCCTAAATCCATAGGCAGAGATGCACGATTTAAAAAAAACAACAACGAAGTTCTTCCTTTTCTATCCCAACTGTAGTAAGGAAAATTCAGTCTGGATACTGGGAATCTGATGGGCACCTGTAGCTCTTCTTTGTGGCCACAGCTCCCTCTGCAGTCAACTCAGCTACACCAGTAACGCCAGATAGTGAAGTCTCTCTACAAATCCTGTGTTGGGAACCACACAGGATGCCCTAAATCCTCACAAAAATCCCAAGGAGAGCACCAGTGAGGCTGAGAGCTAGAGCTCAGTAGGGTCAACAGAGGAGCCTGCAACTCACTGGAAATCATTCAGTCCCACCCATGCAGGAAGCAAAGACCAGGCTGAGAAGGTCCAAGCCTGGAGAAGCATCATAGCACAGCTCCCCAAGAGTGGGATCAGTGCCAGGGTTATAGAGAGGGTGTGGGAAGAAATGCAGGAATGAGTACACCCAAAATAACCCACCCAGCAGGGCTGGGAGCTTTCAGAATGTCAAACCAGAGGCTACTGAGAGGCTACTGAGAGGCTACTGTGTTCAAACCTTGCTTTGTTCAAAAAGCATAGAAGCAAACAAGAAAAACCATAGATGCTGCAGGAAGAAGCACAAATCCCTCCTCTACATTATGGTGTCATGTATGAAATGACTGCAGCAGCTTCAACTTGCAGCTGCTTCTCTAGGCAGTTCCCCAGGGGAGATTTTGAGCCTTGTGGCTTGAGGACAGGACCTCTCTTGCACCTCTTCTCCTGTCTCACCTGAGTGACTTCCCAAGCTGCAGGGTAACTGAGCAGAAGGAGCCACAAGAGCCCATCAGTGCAGCCTTTGGTGCTGTTTAGGCACCTTGTTTGGTTAGAAAAGAGGAGAGGAGGAGGAGAGGAGAGGACGAGGAGGAAAGGAGAAGAAGAGGACGAGAAGAGGAGGAGAAGAGGAGGAGGAGAGAAAAAGAGGAAAGGAGAGAGGCTCACTGATTTGCACTGGGGTGTTCAACGACATACCTACTGCCAGAACTCCAAAGTGAAAAAACAATACAACACAGCAATCAAACACAGTTTTGCTCTGATTTAATCTGTATTTCAAAACATACTCTGAAAGCAAAAGAATTCTTCAGAAAGTGAGGAAAAACACTGTGAAAGGCAAGAGGATCATTTCAGTGCACGTCGCTCAGCCCCTCGACCAGTGCATCCTGAGGAGCATCCAAACACTTTCCTGACCTGGCAGCTCCAAAAGGCACCTTTTCTCAGACCTGCCAGTCTCAAAGCAGGACTCCCTCGTTTCACAGAGCCTTGGATCAGCTGTGCAAAGCTGATAACAGGCTGATTAGATAGCCCAGTAGTTCCCAACCCCCTCAGCCACATATTCAATTTGTGCCAGCACTGCCTGGTAAGATATCATGCCACACCAGGTCATGTTTGAGGAACTCTACTAGCCACCATGTTCCAGCCCATCTATCCCATCTATCCTGTCTTTATCTGAGTGGTGGCTGCCTCCCCTTTATCTAGTTCCTTACACCATTGATTCTGCTGGTACCAATACCCCTGCCTTCACCAGCTGTACTAATCACTTCCCCTGTGAGCTCATACTGAGGCTTCGTGCAAGACTCTGATTAGTTTTACATCTTTTGCATATGAAAGGAAGTTGGAAAAGTTAAAAACCTACCCTTTCCTAAATTCTTGCATAAAATCTTATGATAGTATAGCATCATTCCAAAGGTCTGCCACGTGAGAGAAAAAAGAAGAATTGAAACATCAAGAAAATCAAGGTGTTATTTTCAAGACCTTAGCTCTTTGATTGTCTAAGAGACCTACAGCAAATCTGGTTTTCTAGGCCAGGTTTCTGTTGACATACATCAGCTGTTTAACATCAGTGCAATTATTTTGTATTACCATAAAATTGCTGCAAAATCTTTGGCTAAGTTACCAACACAGAGGTCAACAAAGCACACATCATTCTGCCTGCCCAGGCAGGGTCTGCACTCTTGGATCAGAGCAGCTCCTTCTCAGGCACATGTTCTCCATCCTGCTCCTCAGGGGTTGTTCTACAGGTTGATTCTCTCCCCTTGCACAAGACGTGCTCGGAAGTTCCAAATATCCTTCAAAAGCAAAAATGAGACAAAGGAAAAAGCCTTAAGGGTCAGCAAAACCAGTGACCAGGGTTCCAGTTTACAGAGTTGGAAATAGATAGAGCATTCTCAGCTTTGCTACTTATCCATAAAAACCTACCAAAACACTGAATATCCCTTCAAATACTAAATATCAAGAACCAAAAGAAACCAAAAACATAAGGAAAGACTTCTTTATTGTAGGGATTATGGAGCACTGGAACAGGCTGCCCAGACAGGTTGTCTCCTTCTCTGAAGACTTCCAAGACCTGCCTGGACACATTTCTGTGTCACCTGCCTTAGATGATCCTGCTCTGCCAGGATCCTGCTCTGATCCCCAGAGGTCCCTTCCAACCCCAACATTCTATGCTTCTATCAAAATACAGCCCAAACTAAAGAAGAGGTGCAGCCTGCACCCCCAGGAGACAGGTTGTTTGCAGGTGTGACATGGAAGGCAAGATGCCTGTGGTCCAGTTCTGGGAAGCAGAAAAGGAAACACCAGAAGTACACAGAATATGGCTCTTGCAGAAGTCACCCATGCCTGGTTGTGCACACAATGCCTCCCTCAGGCACCCCTGGGCAATCAAAAAAGCTCATCAGCTGAGGACACCTGAGGACACTGCTGCCCATGAGCAAGTGATATTCCTGGTGCAGCAGAAACCAGCAGGAAATAATGGATACAAATGCAAGCCCTTAGCTAGAAATCAGGTGCTGGGCAGGCACTGCTGCAGACATTCCTGCACTGAGGTGCATTTTGGACAAGCTCTTCCCTCAGTTCCTGGTGTGAGGATTACTTAGTTCTTATCATTAGCCTTGTGAGGTGAAATGTAAAAGTTGGGCACTGCTCTGGGACAAAGCTCCAACTCTGGCTAAAAAAAATGCTTAGAGGTACAGGGAAACATAGACTCATCTGAGACTGGTATGGGCATCCACTCAAATAAGGGCAAGGAAGCTGGTGAAGGGTCTAGAGCACAGGTCTCATGAGGAGTGGCTGAGGGAACTGGGGATGTTAAGTCTGTGGGAAAGGATGCTCAGAGGAGACCTTATCACTCTACAACTACCCGAAAGGAGGCTGTAGTGAGATGGGGGTTGGTCTCTTCTCCCAAGTAATAAATGATAGAACAAGAGGAAATGGCCTCAAGTTGTGCCAGGAAACATTTAGATGGGGTATTATGAAGAATTTCTTCACCAAAAGGGTTGTCAGGCACTGGAACAGGCTGCCCAGGGCCGTGGTGGAGGCACCATCCCAGGAGGTATTTAAAAGCTGTGTAGATGTGGTGCTGAGGGACATGGTTTAGTGGTGGACTTGGCAGTGCTGGGTTAGCAGCTGGACTTCATGATCTTAAAGGTCTTTTCTACCCGAAACAATTCTCTGATTCATTTCCCCTCAGAAGAAGGAAAACCTCACTATGCATCACTTTGGATTTTGCTGTGTACTAAATAACTCCAGGAATCAAAACTCAAGCAGGCTCTAACTTTACAGATAACACCTAAGATCATGCCTGCAAAACACAGCTGGACACCCCACCATTCCCAGGCACCATGTGGGAAAACACAGAACAAATCCCCCTAAAGCTAAAAAGAGTCTTCTCCTCCAGAATCACAGAATCTGAGGGGTTGGAAGGGACCTGGAAAGATCATCCAGTCCAACACCCCTGCCAGAGCAGGGTCACCCAGAGCACGTCACACAGGAACATGTCCAGGTGGGTTTGCATGTCTCCAGAGAAGAAGACTCCACAACCTCTCTGGGCAGCCTGTCCCAGGGGTCTGTCACTCTCACAGGAAAGAAGTTCTTCCTGATATTCACATGGAACCTCCTATGCCCTAGATATTTTAATATCTGTAAAATATGTACATTTTAAAAGAAAATCACTGCCTATTGCAGCTAGACTTTACTGTTTTGATACCAGCTTGGGAACTGCTGTGGATTAAGAAATTAAGAACATTTCCACTCCACTAACAACATTTATTTTTCTTTCACTGCCTCAATGCCTGAAGAATTTAGATTTGCCTTCTTTTACACAATGGTTTCAGTTATTCAGCACAAGTCCATTACCCCTTTTTCTTTTTCAGCCAGATGTGTATCTCTGCTGACATACCTGTTGTAGCCTCAGGTCTCAACAATTGATGTGTAATTCTATTTAACCAAAAAAATCCAGTCTACTATTGCAGACAGATGTGGCTACTTGTTTTAAAAGAAAAAAACACGTTCCATTAGGAAGGGAAACTGCAAGAACTGTGGCCATTGCACTCAACTTATTGCACCTTCTTATACTTGGAAATTCAGGGCAGGAGATGACCACATCTGCATACTTACATTGTGCAGTGCAGACACAACTGCAAAGAGCTCTGGTTCAGACACACTCCCCACAACAAACCAGGAACCAAGGAAGGGATCAAGGCCTGCTCACAAAACCCATTTTGGCAAACAGAGCTGGAGGAGGGACTTCCAGAGCTCAGGGGATGCAAAGGGGCCGCCCAGAGAGCAAGGCCACTTGTCCAGCATAGCAAGAAGCAGCCTTATGAGCAACAAGGCTCCAAAAAAGCCTCCCGTCACCCTGTTGACATCAGGTCTTTTATCCTGCCAAGCACCTCCTCTTGGCACAGCTTGATCTGCCAAACTGGGCACAGCAAAAAGCACAAATCTGTCACGCAAGAGAGGCTCAGGAAAGGGCACTGACCAAAGGACACATAGCCAAGCCTTACCCTGAGTTCCACAGAAGACATGTCAAATTTCTCACGAGCTATCTCTACCAGTTCTTTCTCCAGGTGCTCTTGGGTTGTGTTCTTGACATCAATGTAGTGGCAATCTGAACTGGCAAAGTGACAGCTTATACTCTGCATGAAGGAAACAGGGCATCACTCACTACCACATCCATTACAAATGACTGGTGGAAAAAAAATCTCATGCATCCCAGATTGTGGACACCCCACCTCTGCCTCACAGATCTCATCAACAAATTCCCTTCTCTTTTCTGAGCACTCCTGCTCCCCTGAGAGTGTCCTCTTGAAGAAATCCTCTTGCTGGAGACATGCTCTTGCTTGCTGACATGCTCTTCTTCCTGCCCCTTCTTTCCCAAACAGTCCCCCAGCATGAACTGTACTACTTGATCTCAGAATATCAGCAACAAGAGTGGGACTAGGGAAAGGCAGGTTTGGAGCAGACCTGCGTGCTCAGCACAGGTTCTTACTTTCTGCACTCAAGTCACATCATCCCACTTACTTTGTAATCAGTTCTTGCTTAAGCAGAGTCTAGAGGAAAGAAAGAGAAATGTCCCAACACAAAGAGCTGTTCCATTGCAAAAGCTATGCCACCCACAAGCAAGACCATGCCAGATCTCCAAGGGTGCCAGACCATAACCTGGCTCAGAAAGCTCCAGGATTTTCACTGATTTACCCCAAAGGCAAAGGAATACTGGGATCTGGCACAGTACGAGGAAGCTCCTGTGTTTCTAGGGGGTACTAAACAGGACTCCTGCTCCACTAGCCAGGGAAGAACCTGCAGATGAGACTCTCAGTACTCGTTGTCTTCTCTGCTTTCAGGATTGCAGGAGGAATGAATTCCACACCAGGAAACTGATACTGGGGCTAAAAGAAAGGGCCATATAGTGGTAAAAAGCAAAGCAAATATAAAAATAGAGCAGCCTGTGTTGCAGTGCATGGGGAGATACATCTGCATTGCTCCTAGTGGCTATACTTGAGGCTACAGTTCCCTTACATTCCTGGGTGAATCCAATTCTGAGAAAGGATTCAGGCATCCGAAGGAGGGCACTTTTGCCTGTTTCAGTCAAATAAACATGATGCAAAACAGATTATGGGTAATCAAGTCTTTCATAGAAAAATGGGTCATCTTATCATATAATAAATGTTATTTAGTGGCTTATGGAGGCTCCTGCTGTCCGGAGATGGGATACCAAAAAGGCAGGGGCAAGAAAGTCAGAGAAACTCCTGACATTTTGGACAGCTGAAAGGGAACTATTGGAAAATCAAATACAGCCAGCCAAGCTTCAAAAAGATTCAGTATCTAATTTCTACTCCTGCTCTTTTTCTGCTCCAGCAGCCCCACAGCATCTTCTCCTAAAAGCCAGAGATGTTTAAAAATAAAATAAAAAAAATAAAAGAGTGTAAAAGGAAGCTAAAAACTGATTAAAAACTTAATCCACATATTCATTAACTTGGAAAGGAGGGGATATTTCAATAATTTTTTGAAAAATCAAACATACCAAAAGCTGCATCAAGAGATGGTTTCCTACCTTTCGGAAACCTGATGTCTTGTTTATCCCAGAGCCATGAATGAGCAGGGGATGGAAGAACACTGTGTCTCCCTTCTCCATGACAAGGTGAACCTTGGGAGTCTTCTCATCTTCATCAAGCAGCCCATGGAAAAGTTTGTTAGTTTTACCCTAGAAAAAAAAGGGTGAATTGGAGCAAGTGCTGATTCTCAGTGACAGCCGGAACAGTCACTGAGCTGCTTCTCTCTGGGCAGTACATTCAGTGTTGCCCAGCTAAGAACCTGCCCATTTGCCTGCAAGGTTTCCTATTTGAAGCCTGAGGTCCAGTAAAATAATGTGAGTCCTATTTTCTGAAGCTGAACTCATACAATTAAGAATGTTTCCTGGCTGGAGAGAAGAGCACTGGGGAATCCCACAAGTGTGGCCTGATGCCACTGCTGGTGTCCAGCTTTTTGCTCCCAGTGTAACCACCACCAGCACCAGGGCTAGACTGGCAACCATCTGTTCTTAAAGCAAGATACTGCTTGACATGTAGTTGCATCCAGTTGTTTACTGTCCAATTTCTGCTCTTTGGGACAGTACCCAGGCTCACCAGGCAGGAACAAATTCACTGGAGGAGAAGGAGTCCTCAGACTTGGCAAGGGCAGTGGAAAACAGCTGCATGTGCTTTTGCTGTCATGCCATGACATGCCAGACAATTTCTAGGTGAAGGTGGGAACAGATGCAAATCTCCCCAGGTTACAGGGAGTGAGGCCAACCAAGCAACTCTCTCCAGAAGGAACAAATCAGGTTTTGCATAAACAGAAAAACCACCAGTGAAAGCCTCAGCTTGGGCATGCACACCATCCCTCCCAGGGGAGCTCTCCTCAGCCAAATCGTGATCCCCTCATGCAGACCCTCCCCAACCCCCCCGTGATGCTCTACCTCCCACTGTGGATAGCCATGAGGCTTCAGGGGCAGCTTGTGTGTCCCTGGCTGCACGACCAGGCAGCCATTGTCCTGGTCAGCCCTCTCCATGGCAGTCCAGGAGCAGACGATGCGGGACGCAGGTCGGAAGGGGAAATAGTGCAAGTCCTGATGCATGGGGTGGAGAAAAGTCTGCTTCTCTGCAACACAGGTTCAAAACCTTCAACCTCATCAAATGTGACACAGCCTTTTCCTTCCATTAGACCACTGCACTTGTTGTTACATGTCCTAAGAATGCTGCTTGCCACTGGAGAGACTGTGTGTATTCCAGCCCACTTCCAGACTTGGAAGCCAAATGGATTCACTTACAGGCCACCCCGAGATGGACCACGAGCACAGTGGTGGCTCTTGGGTCAGCAATGGCAGGGGGACACAGTGACTGCCTGTGTGATCCCTCAGAAGACTCCTTTTGCTGTCCTTCACCACCACCACCGATGCCCTGCCAAGTTTTCAACATTCACTTGGGCTGCTCCCCAGTTCAGTGAACTTTAAACCAGCAGAGAATTGCACAAACCTCTCCCAGTACAAAGACTCCCAAACAGCTCTGCTGTCTGTGGCCACTTGATCTATCACTGTGTTGCAAGCAGAATCAGCTCTCTCTGTGCTGCACCCAACACGTTTATTTAGCCTTCTTTAAAAATAAAAACCTCAACAGACAGTCTACTCAGCACTCTAACAACAGGTTTTTTTTTCCATGAAGTCTCAACAGAAATAAATATTTCTGAAGTTTTGTTTGTTACTTCTTTTCCGACTGTGGAAATGGAAACATATCCTCCACACCAAAACTGCCTTTTATATATTATTTATATTTTTTGTATACTATATATATTTATATATAGACACACACACAATATATATAATATATAATATATTGTCATTACACATTGTATATAAAAATATATATTATTATAATATATATTATTTAGATCTATTTTACCATTGATTTTGCTCCTCAGATATAATTTGGATGTTTCCTCTTGCCTCATTTGCTATATTATTTAGACTTTGGGCAGCCTGGAAAAACTTCCTAAGATCTGTACCTCTCCTGAAGTACTCCTCAAAGATACTGAATGGTGACCTTGCAAATACAGAGCAGGTTCCCTTTCCTTGTCCAGTATTCTTTTGTTTTTACTTTAAAAATATATGGTCTCCTGTTGAGCTTCCAAACCAAAATGGCACAGCTTTCTGTGGAGTATCAAGGATGACAAATGGAGCAAACAAACTCATGATTTTCAGACCTCAGGGTACTAAAGATCTGCTCTGAAGTAAAACACCTGAGAATAAGAAACACAGCTCAGGTCCCAACTTCTGCAGAGCCAAAGCTACTTTGAAAAACTGCAATATAGTTAGTCAGGTTCTCTTCCTCTCTCCCTGCCCATCATCCTTGTATAACCTATTATCTTAATTTCCAGGAGCTGAAGCCAGGCTTCAGAATCCTGCTTTTGGCACCCATTCAAGTATCTTCCTATCAAAGTGCTGAGTGTGCAACACCTGTCAGTGAGGTCAGAAGCACATCAACTCCAAGCAAAGAATGACCTCTGGATTTATTGCCTTTTACCAAGATCCACATGAGCACTTCTTTTTACTGCATTTGAAAAGTTGAGCTTGAAAAGCCTGTCATTTTTTAAAGCCTGGGCCTTCATGTAGGTGCAGCTGGCTTGGCTGGGGAGCTCACCTGCCCACTTTAAACACTGGAGTTGTGCAGCCCAGACAACCACCATCTTTAGCAAACAACTATCCACTGAACATTGAAAGACAAAAAGCATTCTCTATTTAAACCAAACTATTACCAAAGTGGCCTGGTACATTTTTTAAGTGATTTGGTTTTAATTTGTCCCTTTTTTTTTAAATTTTCAAACAGCTTCTCTAAAACACAAAGTTCCATTTTGGCCAGACAAACAGCACATACACAACAATTTCTCTGTTTTCTTCTTATCCAAGTTTTCCTTACCAGAATCTGGAAGTTTGTTTATCAGCATGGTGTGCATTGCCATGATGTTTGGCCCTGTGAAGCACTCGACATATTTGAGGATCTACAGGGAGGAAAATATTAGGAAAAAAAATATTAGAAACATGAAAGTCAAGAGGAAAGATTGCTGAGGAAGCACTGGGACCTGGATGTTTAGCTGAGGACTAGGGGACAGGAAGAGAAGATTGGGATGGAGGAATCCAAGACAGGAGACAGGTTATGGCACAAACAGGCAGTGGTAGGAGGCCAAGACAGAAGATGGTGCAGCAGGCTGTTGGGTGGGGGTGTCTGCCACAACACAAATATTGGCTACTAAGCTGGACCTGCCCAGAGAGCACAGATTCTTTGTCTGGATAAAAGACATTCAGAAAATGTTGCTGAACTGTCCTACTAGCCTGGCATGGTTTGGGCTAGTCTCATTCCTGACTGGCTCTGCACCACAGAAGCAGAGGAGCACTGCTTTAAGTCTTCTGCCCTGACCACCATCCATCCTATGCTCCTACAAAACACTCTTCCTCAAGGTGGCTTCCTCACGTGTGTACTCAGGGGACTGGCACACAGAGGCTCTAAGGGATATAGGATATGGCTTAAGCAGAACTAAAAAAAGCTCCTTTGTATAGACATGAAAGCATAGATACATTCATATAGGCTCTTCCACACCACCACCCCTTTTTGTTGTTTTTTTCTTATTTTATTTTACCTCGGGCAGAGTACAGTATCTGAACAACTCTTCATCCTCCTGGAAGTCCTGCACTTTATTAACTGATTTTTCAGACTGACTGTACTGGGTTCTCAGGGACTCGTCTTTCATAATCATAGCTCCCAGGGGCTTCACCTCTTTCCTACAGATCCTCAGGAACTCCAACCTGCAAAGCAGTGGGCACATCCATGTTGGGAAGAGTTCAGCTTCCTCCAGCTCCCAGAGCTCCCTCAGGATGTTGATGCACACAGGACCCCCCCAGCACCCCGGACAAGTGACCCATACCTGAAGCGCTCAATGTCTTCATCAGAAACAAGCTTCTTAATGAGCAGATACCCATTGTCCTCATAGAACTGCCTTTGCTCTGTGGTGAGGAGGTTATTGTCCAGGGTATAGCTGAGACACAGAGGAGAAACACATTACTAGAGCTGGGCAAATAGCAGCAGCAGCTTCAGGGAGACCTAGCAGAAGGATGGTGATGTGGGGGATGAGCAGCTGCTGGGAGGAGTCGTGACAAACCCTCCCCACCTGCATGTCCACCTCAGCTCTGCAGGTGTGCAGTGTTTGCCAGGCCCCTGCAGAGCCAGCACTAGCATCTCTGCCCACAGCCACCTGTGGCAGAATCCAAAGCATCCCCCTCTACCTTCCCAAAGTGGAGAAGGAAGGAGGAAAGCTGGGATCAGCCCTCAGCTGCTCTACTCTCAACAGAGATACTGAAGCACCCTGGAATAGTCAGTCAGTCAGTTCATCCACTTGGATATTTTCAAGATGCATGGTTAAGTTTTCTGATTAAGCTACAGTTAAGCAAAGAATATACCCTTGCACAAGGAAAGGCTACACCACGTCTAGTGATCAACATGTGTGCTAGGGTGGAAAAAATAATTGAGTCCTGCAGGTTATTGGTTATTTAATCTATACAAAGGAAGACACAGCTTACCGAAACCTCCCTGTTTGAGGAACAACACTAACTTGGGCTGAAGTAGGAACACTTACCTGGGATGGAAATTAAGGAATATATACTTAAGCATAATAGAGTAGAAGAACATCTATAAATGGGCGCCCTGAATCCTACAATGCAGTTCATCTTAAACATCAGTTCTGTGCTAGACATTTTATTCATAGTTTATTTTGCTCCCAAAAAAAATCTTCCCTGCCTTCAGGGTAGCACAACTAGCAGAGAAATATAAGGTAACAGCACAGTACAGCCTTGTCCATGAGTGTAGAAAAGTCAATACAAAATGCATGAGACTCCAGGGCCTCAATTAATCTCCCATAATATCAAGACACCCAGTGAGATGCTCAGTTGAGAAGTTTACTTGTGCAATTTTCCTCCCTATGCTTCAGGGAGCAGCCAGACCCACCCAAAACCTTCATTACCTCTTGGAGGTGCTTTGCCTTCTCTCCCATTCTAATATCAATGTGCCAAATCCAGAGCAGAAGTCACAGGGGTGAACCTGGGACTTCCCATTCCTATTCAGGGCTGCAAACCCTCACCTTCTCTCCAGTTACTGCAGAGATTAGGTGCCTCCCAAATTTGATGGGGAGAGCATGAAGAGAGGAGAGCTATGGGTTTGTCCTTCACCCCCATTTATAGAATCACAGAATGGTTTGGGTTGGAAGGAACTTCAAAGATCATCTAGTTCCAACCCCCCTGCATGGGCAGGGACACCTCCCACTAGACCAGGTTGCCCAAAGTCCTGTCCAACCTGTCCCTGAACACTTCCAGGGATGGGGCATCCACAACTTTCCTGGGCAACCTGTTCCAGTGTGTCACCACCCTCATACTAAAGAATTTCTTCCTAATGCCTAACCTAAATCTACCCTCTTCCAGTTTAAAGCCATTACCCCTTGTGCTATCCCTACATGCCCTTGTAAAAAAAATCCTTTTGCCTGCATTTTGAGGAACCTTCACTTCTACAGTTGGTATGCTGGGTTTTTCCAAGTGTCCCAACAGGCAGCACCCAAGCTGAATTCCCAGCTGTAGAACAGAGCTCTTCTAAAGGCACTTGTCAGTTCTTCTCAGCTGCCCTCCTGTAAGGAGGAAAGTGCTGGTGTCACCGATGTAGTTCTCTTCTCTAGCTCCTAAGCCAAGCTCCCAAGAAAACCCTGCCATATTTCACCTTCTGCTGCTTCCTCTCCCTTCTGAGGCCACGTGCTAGGACTCTGAGCAGGCAGAGTTTTTCCACTATCATGTAAAAATTACTCATCTTCTAATAAACCAGTACAACCAACCTCTAATACACTATATCCCTAAAAGCAACTACAGGAGGAAACTAGGGATGTTCCAGATGGTATTAAGATGGTATTAAGCTCTCTCTTAGGCAAGTTTAAATAAGCAGAGGATCAGGGTGCTCTCTTCTCCAGGCTGGGAAAGTGGTAGCCTGGGGCAAGGCAGCAGAAGGCAGCTGAGGGCTCCCTGAGCAGAGAGAGGTGGCTGTGCACATCCCCAGCCCAGCAAGGCAGCACACAGACCCCACGGGCTGTGAGCAGTTTTCACATTTTAGGTCTCTATTAAGAATTTCCACCCCCCTCCATAAAAGGATGGGCGTTCCTGGAAGGAAAACTGACTGTCTTACTCAATTCACCAAGCCAGAGATTACAACAAAACCACTGCACTGAGGTTAACATATATCAAATACATCTGCTTGTAGCAGAGTCTATAATTTACTTTATCCACACACTTTTCTTGTTCCACCCCAGCTTAAGTCATATTTTTGCTCAAAGCTCTTTGCATCAGGACCATTGTAGTTGCACTTAAAACCAAAACAGCTTGTGCACTGCCTTTCCTTAGTTACTTGCTCTCTCTTTAGAGCCAGGATGCTCTTCCTAGCATTTATTTCCCATGTTGTCTTCCTACGTGCACCTTTGTCACAGGGCAGTCTGAGTCAAGCACTGTCTGTCCATCTATCTTAATATTTTTAATCTATTTTAAAGGCTCCTACATGCTCACATACTCTTAACTATCGTATCAAAATTCAGAGACAACTTCTCAGCATGCAGCTCTGAGAATCAGCAGCATTTAAGAATCCTTTTGTTGCCTTGTTTTTGAAGGGAAGATTCGTGGCAGCACCTTCAAAAACACCACCAGCAACCAGCCTTCACTTCACCTCCAGAAACACAGCACAGACCAACACGAAAACTTCCTTCTCTCCCTGGTTTCCTCTCCCTGACCTGCTGAAGAGCCTGCAGCCTCCAGCACCTCATTTGTGGAGTCTCCTTCACTGGAGACATTCAAAACCCACCTGGATGCGTTCCTGTGTGATGTACTCTAGGTGACCCTGCTCTGGCAGGGGGGTTGGACTAGATGATCTCTTGAGGTCCCTTCCAACCCCTAGGATTCTATGATTCTATGAGTCTATGACTTCCCACTCACCAACCACCCCTGGAGGTTTTTCATTGCTTCTGGTCCGGTCTGCATCTCTCAACAAATCCTCAGGCTCCCTGTGCAGCTGCTCAGCCTCGAAGGGTTTATCTCCCCCGAGACCCTGGGATGTCTAAGAGGGAAATTCCCGGCAGGGAAGCCCCCCTGCCCGGTGCCAGGGGGGTGGGAAGAGGCGGGTGGGCTGCCAGGGGCACAGCCCCGCTCCTGACGGGGAAAGCACCGGGCAGCAGGGGGATTTCGGGTCGCTGGCCCCGGGGGGAGCAGAGCCCCCAATCCAGGGCAGGGCGCCGCGGCC